AACTGTGGCAATCTTTTTCATCTTTTGAGATTTAACAAGCATAGGGAACAACAGTAAAATAACTGGCATATTTGTTTTGGTGTGTGTTAGTGTTGTTAATGGTGGTGAGTAGGGCACCAAACCCTTGTAGAACAATTCATTAGCATTTGGTCTTATTTGTGGTTGGTTGCCCCTTTAAGTAAACATCACCTCCCTTTAGTTCTGGGAGATGATATTCACTACCCTCTCTTATCAAGATGTAGGTTCAGAAACAAGATCCTGTAGGATTCCTTCCTCATTTAAAACTTATTTAGTGCTTTATCTGAATCTTCAGAAAACTACATAGCTTGTTGCCTTTTGGGCTTCAGAGAACTGTATTAATTGTTTAGGTTTGGACAAAGTGTTATCTTTTGAGATCCTTCAAGACAAGCGAGGCGGCTTCCTCTCAAATGAATTACCTGTTGAGAACCTATCAGGCCAGTAACTCCTCAGTCCGGTCGAGTGAGGCTCTATGGCATCCTGTGGAGCAAAGTAGAGTCTTGAGCTGACCTTGGGATGCGCAGCACATCACCACCTCTGCCCCAGGCCTCGTTGCAGGGGCCAGGCAGGCCGAGGGCAGCCCACCGTCGGGTATGATCATTTCAGGTCACCTCTGCTCTTCCAAGATCCAGCTGGTCCAGGATGTGTGGTGCCCAAGGATGCTAATTCACATCCCATCTCTTTCATCCGTGTGATCTCCAGCTCCCCAGCACTGGGGGGGGAGGGAGGAAGGGATGGGTAGGGAAGTGGTCACGTCCAGTTACAAATCGTGCATCTTTTCTTCTTTTCAGTCCAGCTAGTTTAAATCCCACACACTCTTCCAGCTGTGGTCTAATCTAGATTACGCAATTCCCAGCCTGTCCTTTACAAGGACCCGTCGATTCGCAAAGGGCAGGTCGAGTGTACAGTCAGCCAGTCGGGAGGTCGCTCCCCAGCCGTCGGGCTCCTCCCGCCCGGCTGGCTTCCACCTCGGCCAACGCCCCCACCTCGGGACGAGGCCCGGAGCGCGGGCTTGGGCACGCACGTCGTGTGCGTCCAGGGGCTGGGCTACAGCCCCTGACGTCAGCGGCCACGCCCCCAGCGCTCAGCTATCCTTCGTGCCGCCCGCCATCTTGTCTCAGTGTCTCGCTGGCGGTCGACGGTCTTGGAACGTAGTCCTGGTCCGTGGTCGGGACGCCGCGAACCCCGGTTCTTTTGTCTGTGTTTGACGCCCTAGTTTGGTCCGTGACCTTCCGGAGCTTTCCGGAGGCAGCCAGCAGAAGCCGCAAGGGCCGCCCCACCCCTCCCGTCTCAGGGTCCCGGAGGGATCGAGCTCGGTCACGCCCCTCAGCCCCCCCCACACCTTTCCCCTTAGTCGTTGCGTCCTCGTCGCGTCTCCGGAATCAGACGGTGCCCCATAGATGGCCAGCTTTCCCCCGAGGGTCAACGAGAATGAGATCGGTGAGGAGAGTGGGGCGGTGGGTGAGTGCGCGTGGGGTGGCGGGGAGGGGAGCGTCCCGGAGTCGGGGGCCCTCGCGTGGGGCCTCCGCTGAGCAGGGGGACGGGGTCCCGCGTGGGTGCAGCCCGGTGTGCCGCGCGCTGGGCGCCCGGGGAGCGTCGTGTGGGACCTGGGCGCGTGCGGACCGGGGTGTGGGGCGAGCCGGGCGCCCACCCAGACCCGGCCTCGCTCCTTCTTCCTTCCTCCCACCTCCCCGCCCCCGGTACCCCGCGGTACCCCGGAGTTATCCACCATGACCGGCGCACGTCCTTTATCCTGGGGTTTCCTGGAGATCCCAGCTCCGAACTTGGGGGGGGGTCGGATGCCCCGCAAGTTTATGATGATGATGTGCGGGGCGGAGGAGGGAGGGAGGGAAGGAAAGTACAACTCGTGTGTTCTGAACTGCAGTTGGAAGCCTGGGCTTCTCCTCTAGGTCAACCTGAAAACAACGCAATATTTGAACAGCAACAAAAGAGAGACCAGGACGTTAAAGAGAAAAAGCCAAAGGTTTTAGGGAGGAAATTTTCAGAATGATCTTCCCCAGTACCTACGGGAGGAGGAGATGGTTGGGTGGAGGGGACACAAGTAAGGCCCCAGTACCCAAGAGCAAAGTCTGGAAAGGCTTTCTCCTAACCGGACTGATGGCCAGCTCTGCCACGCACCACGCCCAAAGAAAGAGCAGGCGATGGGGGTTCCAGGTTATGGTCCAGATCTGCCCGGGGACACTGTTTTAACACCTTACAGTAATTAAGTCCTCCAAAATTTGTTGGTGCAGTGCTTTGACCGATATGCTTAGTACACGCTGATGTCACTAGACTGGGTTAAATAAAAGTTGGCAGAGGACACTGAGCCAGAGAACCTCACCTGATCTTCAAGTTTATGGATGCTACTTTTACCAAATACTTGGAGCTGGTGTTTCCCGAAGTAGACAAAAGGGTTTGTCTTGTAGGCTGGTAAATCCGAACCGAATTTTGGACTTTTGTTCTTTTAAGGACAAGGTTCAATGTATGATTATTAGGTGACTTTGACCTTCGATTTAATAACTTTATTATTTACTTCGTTGTTATAGAGGTGATGTATGGAGGGATTACAATTACATGAGTCAGGTAATGACCACATTTCCTTTCTTGCAGTGTCTTCTATTCCCTCATTCTCTCCTGATCCCTCCCTCCTGTCTCCACCCATGAGTTGTAATTTCATCAATGTCCAGGGAGCAGCACTTTCTCACTGTTTTTCCCTGGAGTTCTGTACCCTCCCCCCTTCCCAAAGATATACACGTAAATACACATAGTAAGGTAAAGAAGACATAATCATCAAAAACTAAAAAAAAAAAAATAGCTGGGCTCACCCCTGTATTCCTAGCTTCTCAAGAGACGGAGATCTGAGGATCATGGTTCAAAGCCAGCCAGGGCAGGAAAGTCTGTAAGATTCTTATCTCCTATTAACCACCAGAAAACAGGAAGTGGTGCTGTGGCTCTTCTAGCTGAGGGATAGCGCCCAGGCCCCATGACCTCCCTCCCCCCCCCCCCAAAAAAAAAGACTTTTTTGCATATCTTGGAGTTGATTTCAGTATGTATATTTTATATCAATATGTAGAGGCACTTTGGCATTTGTGCCTTTGTTTCCTAAGAGTATTCTCTTTGGGTCTCACTGTGTATGTATCTAGAATCCTATGTAATTTTTCATATCCCAGTACATTCTAGATCTAGCTTCTGCATATTAGGACATGTGCTTTTTGGGTTGCTGTTTGTCTTTTTTTTGGGGGGGGGGGTCTGGTTGTGGGGCCTGAACTCTGGGCCTGGGTGCTGCCCCTCGGCTCTTCAGCTCAAGGCTAGCACTCTACCACTTGAGCCACAGCGTCACTTCCGGCTATTTTCTTTTTGCTTATGTGGTGCTGAGGAATCGAAACCAGGGCCTTAGGCATGCAAGGCAAGCGCACTCTACCACTGAGCCACCTTCCTAGCCCTGCTGTTTGTCTTTCTAAGCTTGGCTTACCTCACTTAACATGATTGGTTCTAGTTCCATACATTTCCTTGCAAGTGACATTGTTTTCTCTTTTTGTTGTTGTTGTTGTTGCTACTGGGGCTTGAACTATGGGCCTGGACACTGTCCCTGAGCCCTTCAGCTCAAGGCTAGCACTCTAGTGCTTGAGCCATAGTGCCACTTCTATTTTCTGAGTGGTTTATTGGAGATAAGAATCTCACAGACTAGCCAGGCGCTGGTGGCTCACGCCTGTAATCCTAGCTACTCAGGAGGCTGAGATCTGAGGATCACGGTTCAAAGCCAGCCCGGGCAGGAAAGACTGAGACTCCTATCTCTAATAAACCACCAGAAAACCGGAAGTGGCGCTGTAGCTCAAGTGGTAGAGCACTCGCCTTGAGCTGAAGAGCTGAGGGACAGCGCCCAGGCCCAGAGTTCAAGCCCCACGACCGACAAAAAAAAAAAAAGAATCTCACAGACTTTTCCTGCCCTGGCTGGCTTTGAACCATGATCCTCAGATCTCAGCCTCCTGAGTAGCTAGGATTACAGGCGAGAGCCAGCAGCACTTGGCTTTGTTTTGTATTTTTACTTCATTATGATAAACCTATCTTTTCTAAGGGGTGATAGAGCTTCTTAGCATACCTGCCTAAGGTAGACCCATCCATTAAGCATAATTTAAAAAGAATAAACAAAACTTTTTATTTTGCATTTGATGTGCTGTCTTCTTACTTCCTGGGTAATAATATAAGGCAAAAAGTTACTAGTTGAAGCCAAATGTCTGTAAATTTGTCCTTTTCTAAGCTTTTTTTTTGGGGGGGGGGGTCTGTCATGGGCCTTGAACTCTGGGCCTGAGTGCTGTCCCTCAGCTCTTCAGCTCAAGGCCAGCGCTCTACCACTTGAGCTACGGTGGCACTTCCGGTTTTCTGAGTGGTTTATTGGAGATAAGAGTCTCACAGACTTTCCTGCCGGAGCTGGCTTTGAATTGGCCATCCTCAGATCTCAGCCTCCTGTGTAGCTAGGATTACAGGCATGAGTCACAGGTGCCCAGCTTTTTTTTATTTTTAAACCCCAGTGTTTTGTTTCTTTGTTTTTGAAGTATCATTTGGATACAAGGTTAAACATTTATTGCTTTATGTAACTATCTATGAATAAGGACTTTCTTCCTTTTTCTTAGCATTAATTGTTGCCTTGCAGAATTTGGCTTCTCAAGTACTTACTGGAAGTAGAGGCTAGATTCCATGTGTGGTTAAATAATTCTATATAAAAAGACAACTGCATTGAGCTACTACACTTTCACAAAGCACTGCCACAGTTCCTCCCTTCGTATGAAATTGCATGAAAAAATGTGAAGGAGCTGGATCTGGTTTGTTTGGTTCTCATGTTTAGTGACTCATAGGTTAACTATGGAGCTGATACTGTCTGCTATTGTGTCATGGGGTCCATTTCCCAAGGCAAGCAGCCTTTCACTTACCCAAGTCATTAAATCAGGACTGGCACCAAAAACAATAGTAACTAGTGAAATGACCATGCATATGACTGTGAGCTTGGAAAAGTATAAAGAAACCTGGAACAACATACGCTTTCTGAAGTCATTTGTGTATTTAAAAATCATCCTGCAACCATCTGAGGTTCACCAGATGTGAGTTTTGTCTTGAAAGTCACGTGACTACCAGAAAAATTAATGTTAAGTTGACATATATAGAGTGGATGCCACTTTGATGAAGTCCATTACTAAGTGGAATTTATCCAGTAAAGTATGGTGAGATTAAGCTGGAGAATGGACTTAATTCTATGATCAAAGGAATGACTAGAAATAGTTTAGCCTGGCAAAAAGAATCTGTTGCTGATGTCGTGGCTGCTTTCCATATAAGTGTGTGTCATATAAAGCAGGATTATTAGGTTTATTCTCAATGGAATCAGGACTGAAGGGGTGGGAGGAAGCTTTTTGTGTCATTAAAAAGTAATTTCTGATAATTTTAGCTGTATTAAAATAGGTCTTATTTATGAATATCATAGAGAAGTTTTTATGTTTTAAGTTTTTAATCTTTTTTTTAAGACCTATACTCATCTGTTAATATATAAAAAATTGAGCAAGGGCTAGGAATGTGGCTTAGTGATAGAGTGCTTGCCTAGCTGGATGAACTCCTGGGTTCGATTCTTCAGAACCACATAAACAGAAAAGGCCCGAAGTAGTGCTGTGGCTCAAATGGTATAGTGTTAGCCTTGAGCAAAATAAACTCCAACAGTGCCCAGGCCCTGAGTTCAAACTCCAGGACTGACTGGCAAAAAAAAAAAAAAAAAAATTGAACAAGGAACATAAAATAAAGTCATTTAAGAATGGAATGTGAGGGCTGGGAAAGTGGCTGAGTGGTAGAGTGCTTGCCTTGCATGCATGAGGCTCTGGGTTCGATTCCTCAGCACCACATAAACAGAAAAAGCCAGAAGTGGCCCTGTGGTTTAAGTGGTAGAGCGCTAGCCTTGAGCTGAAGAGCTGAAGGACAGTGCCCAGGCCCAGAGTTCAGGCTCCATGGATGGTGTACATGAGCTTTGGTTGGTAAATACTGAGCATGTGTCATGGCAATTGCCGTACTAGCTGTGGATAGAATATACATTCAACTGCAAGTGATACTGAGAATACATTTTGGAAATGGGTGTTGCCTGCCTCTCCATCAACCCAGTTTTTGGTTTTTTTTTGGTTGTTGGTGATGGGTTTTTTTGATCAGTCATGGGGCCAAACTCTGGGCCTGGGCATTGTCCCTCAGCTCTTCAGCTCAAGACTAGCACTCTACCACTTGAGCCACAACACCACTTCTGGCTTTTTCTGCTTATTTGGTACTCAGGAATGGAACCCAGGGCCTCATGCATGCAAGGCAAGCACTCTACTGCTGAGCCACCTTCCCAGCCCACACCCAGTTTTCTTGAAACCTCTTTTTTTTTTTTTTTCCAAAGAAATCTCAGCAGGGCCCGTGGCTCATGCCTGTACTCCTATATAAGCCTAAGAGGCTAAGATCTGAGGATAACAGTTCAAAGCTAGTCCAGGCAGGAAAGTTCATAAAACTCTTATCTCCACCAGAAAACTGGAAGTGGCGCTGTGGTTCAAGTGGTAGAATGCTTGCCTAGAACTGAAGAGCTGAGGGACAGCGCTCAGGCCCAGAGTTTAAGCCCCACAGCTGACCAAAACACACAAAAAACCTTGCATAGGGAAATTTTAGGAAAATATCTTTGTGTGTGTGCCAGTCATAGGCACTGTCCTTGAGCTTTTATGTTCAAGGCTAGTGCTCTACCACTGGAGCCACAGCTTTACTTCTGGCTTTTTTAATAGCTAATTGGAGATACCATGAATTTTCTTGCCCAGTCTGGCTTTGAACCTTGATTCTCACTCAGTTGTCAGCCTCTTGAATAGCTAGGATTATACATGTGAGCCACCAGTGCCTGTCTAGGAGAATACCTTTACCAAAACATGAAAATAGTTATTTTAGAGGACTTTCATTCTGAATACTTTCACTAGAGGTGAGGGAAGTTTGTTTTGTTTTGTTTTTCCCTACCAAGGACCATTCTCAAAAAGAAAAAGGGAAGTGAAGGGCTGGAAACATGGATCAGTTGTAGAGTGCTTGCTTAGCATGCATGAAGCCTGGATTTTGATTCCTCACTACCACATAAACAGAAAAAGCCGGAAGTGGTGCTGTGTGTGGCTCAAGTGGTAGAGTGTTAGCCTTGAGCACAGAGAGGCTCAAGGACAGTGCCCAGGCCCTGAGTTCAAGCCCCAGGCCTGGCAAAAAAAGAAGAAAAGTGAAGACTGGAAGCATGGCTCAGGTGATAGAGCCATGGCAGATCTGAGGGTTGAAATCAACCTCAGCAGACGAATTCATGGGAGCCTTGTCTCCAAATTAATCAGTAAAAAGCTGGAACCAGAGGCGTAGCTTAACTGGTAGAGTGCCAGCCTTGAATGGAAAAGACAAGTGAGAGCAAGGCCTTGTGTTCAACCCCTAGTACCGCCACAAAGAAAAGAAGAAAAAAGAAAATCCGTGAATCGTGAAGTAATACACAGTCATTCTCTTTTGTTGTTATATATGATATTTTGTATTTTTTTGTCCTTTAGTGAGATTGCGTACCATAGGGGAACTTTTAGCTCCAGCAGCTCCTTTTGACAAGAAATGTGGTCGTGAAAATTGGACTGTTGCTTTTGCTCCAGATGGCTCATACTTTGCTTGGTCACAAGGCTATCGTACAGTAAAGCTTGTTCCGTGGTCCCAGTGCCTTAAGAACTTGTAAGTCCTACTTTAATTGTCCTACTTTTATTGTTAGCGGACCTTCATGTTATATTCATAGTCATTTAGGTCTAAATGTATGGGAAACTGATTATGATAATTGGGATTTTATTATCTTTGTGTATGCCAGTTTAGGAACTTGAACTAAAGGCCTACACACTGTTCTTTAGCTTTTTTGCTTAAGGCTAGCACTCTACTAGTTGAGCTGTAAGCTCTACTTCTGGTTTTTTGGTGGAGATGAGACACTCACAGACGTTCCCTGCCTGAGCTGGCTTTGAACCATGATCCTCAACTCTCAGCCTCTGGAAAGTGGCTAGGATTACAGGCATAAGCCACCTGTGCCCGTTTTTTTTTTTTTTCCCCCAGCCAAGAATTCCTAAGGTTTTTTTTTTTTTCTTCAAGGCTAGTACACGATCACTTGATCCACGGCTTCACTTTGGAATTTTTGGTGGTGAATTGGAGATAAGAGTCTCAGGGCTGGTTTTGAACAGATTCTCAGATCTCAACTTCTTGAGTAGCTAGGCTTCCAGGCGTGTGCCACAGAGCTTGCCCCCCCACTCCCTTTTTTTTTTTTGTCAGAGGGCTTGAACTCTGGGCTTGGGTGCGTTCAAGGTGAATGCTCTACCACTTGAGCCATAGTGTCACTTCCTGTTTTCTCGTAGTTCATTGGGTGCCAATGGCTCATGCCTGTAATCCTAGCTACTCAGGAGGCTGAGATTGGAGGATCATGGTTCAAAGCCAGCCTGGGCAGGGAAGTCTGTGGGACTTTATCTCCAATTAACCACCAGAAAACCAGAAGTGGTGCTGTGGCTCAAGTGGTAGAGCACTTGCCTTGAGCGGAAGAGCTTAGGAACAGTGCCCAGGCTCCATCACTGAAAAAAAAAAAGTGATTTTCTAAGATTTTTGGAGTTTTGCAGGTGTGTGTGTGTGTGTATTTTAATTATTAAACTTTATCTTAACTACTGAGAATTTGTATTAATGACCTAAATTTATTTAGTAGTTTCCACTTAGTTCAAATTACAGCTTTCCCATCTGTCTGTATGATTGTTTCTTTATTCAGTATCATTAAAGTTGTGTTGAAGTTATTTTAACAAACAGAATATCTACAAGAGTCTGGAGTAAAATTCACTTTTAACCTTTTCCTTTTAGTCTCTTGCATGGCACCAAGAATGTTACTAATTCAAGCAGTTTAAGATTGTCAAGACAAAACAGTGATGGTGGTCAGAAAAATAAGCCTCGTGAACATATTATAGACTGTGGAGACATAGTATGGAGTCTTGCTTTTGGGTCTTCAGTTCCAGAAAAACGGAGTCGCTGTGTAAATATAGAATGGCATCGATTCCGATTTGGACAAGATCAGCTTCTCCTAGCCACAGGATTAAACAATGGTCGGATCAAAATATGGGATGTATATACAGGTATGAGCTCAGTTTTTAAAGCAAACATGATTTTTTTTTATGAATCCGGCTCATAGGCATTGGAATATGAGTTCAGATCTTTATTTATTTTTTGGGTCCGGTCATGGGGCCTGAACTCTGGGCCTGGGCGCTGTCCCTCAGCTCTTCAGCTCAAGGCTAGCACTCTACCACTTGAGCCACAGCGCCACTTCCGGCTTTTTTCTTTTTGCTTATGTGGTGCTGAGGAATCGAACCCACGGCCTCATGCATGCAAGGCAAGCACTTTACCACTGAGCCACCTTCCCAGCCCGAGTTGAGATCTTTAATACATTGAGAAGCCACCTTCCCAGCCCCTAACTTTAGAAAAGCAATATAAAGTTCATACTACTTTTAATATGAGTACATGTATAAGGTAGAATTTGAGTTAATGATTATCATAGCAAGGTAGCTTCTTATATACTTTTTTAATGATAGCTTAGTCTTTTGAAGTAAATCATGTTTAAAGAATCATTAATCTCCAGAAGGTTTTAGTGACCAAAATCTAACTAGGTAGGTTGAAAGTTAATTCTTTGGGCAGTTCAATTAAAAAAAAAGTTTTTAAGCTGGTGGTGAATGTTTGATCCTTGGGCGGGAGGAAGATCAAGGACATGGGATAAAGCTCTTTGGGATAGTACTTGCCTAGTAGGCATAAAGCCTTGAGTTTCTGAGAGTGTGGCTTAGTGGTAGACTGCTTGCCTAGCATGCATAAAGCCCTGGGTTCCATTCCTCAGTGTCACATAAACAGAAAAAGCCAGAAGTAGTACTGTGGCTCAAGTGGTAGAGTGCCAGCCTTGAGCAAGAGCTCAGACAGTGCCCAGACTCTGAGTTCAAGCCCCAGAGCTGGCAAAAAAAAAACAACAAAAAAAACGGGCGGTGGTGGCTCATGCCTGTAATCCTAGCTACTCAGGTGGCTGAGATCTGAGGATTCAGGTTCAAAGCTAACCCGGGCAGGAAAGTCCGTGAAACTCTTATCTCCAATAAATGACCAGAAAACCGGAAGTGGCACTGTAGCTCAAGTGGTAGAGCCTTCACCTTGAGCTGAAGAGCTGAGGGCCAACATTCGGGCCCAGAGATATAAGCCACAGTTGGATTGTTGGGGGAAAATATCCAGGCAATAATTGTGGGTTTTCTAGTGAACAAAACTCCCTGCCAGGGCTGGGAAGATGGCTCAGTGGTAGAGTGCTTGCCTTGCATGCATGAGGCCCTGGGTTCGATTCCTCAGCACCACATAAACAGAAAAAGCCACAAGTGGTGCTGGGGCTCAAGTGGGTAGAGTGCTGGCCTTGAGCTGAAGAGATGAGGGACAGTGCCCAGGCCCAGAGTTCAAGCCCCATGACTGGGGGAAAAAAAAATACTCCCTGCCACTCCACCTCCCCTATCATGGGGCTTGACCTTCAGGCCTGGGCACTACCCCCTGAGCTCTTTTGTTCAAGGCTAGTGCTCTACCACTTTGAGCCACAGCTCCACTTCCAGTTTTCTGGTGGTCATGGACTTTTTTGCCTAGGCTGGCTTTGATCTTCAGCTCTTAGCTTCCTGAGTAGTTAGGATTTCAGGCATAATCCACCAGCATCCAACTTTGAACAAAACTCTTTAACAGGAGATGGTCCAGGAGTAATCCAAGGCCAAGGAAATACGAAGGGAATTTTTTTACCTTTTTTTTTTTTTTTTTTTTTTTAATCATACTGTAGGGCTGGGAATGTGGTTTAGTAGAGTGCTTGGCTAGCATGCAGGAAGCCCTGGTTGGATTCCTCAGTACCACATAAATAGAAAAAACTGGAAGTAGTGCTGTGGCTCAAGTGGTAGAGTGCTAGCCTTGAGCATAGAGAGGCTCAAGGACAGAGGACAGTGTTCAGGCCCTGAGTTCAAGCCCCAATCATATTGTAAACGATATGTGCTGTAAGAACATTTTTTGTCCATCATGGGGCTTGAAGTCGGCCTGGGCGCTGTCCCTCAGTTCTTCAGCTCAAGGCTAGCACTCTACCAGTTGAGTCACTTGAGCCATAGTGCTACTTCTAGATTTCTGGTGGTTTATTGGAGATAAGAGTCTCACAGACTTTCCTGCCTGGGCTGGCTTTGATGCTCAGTCCTCAGATCTCAGCCTCCTGAGTAGCATGGATTACATGAGCCAACAGTGCCCAGATTTTCTCTTTATTTTTAAAAAGTAGTTAGACTTCTGGCTTTCAAAAGTCAATTTTGGTAAAATATATTGTATATTAATATTGTCCTCTATATTTTCCCATATTTAGGAAAACTCCTCCTTAATTTGGTGGATCATACTGAAGTGGTCAGAGACTTAACTTTTGCTCCAGATGGAAGCTTGATTCTAGTTTCAGCTTCAAGAGACAAAACTCTCCGAGTATGGGACCTGAAAGATGATGGTATGTCTTTATTCTGAACTGTGAAAAGGGATTTGCTTCTTAATATTACTAGTGGGAAGTATGGGGATTAGACTTTAGAATGACATGTGGTCTGGGTGTGGTGCTAGTGTGATTCCAGCCCTAAGGAGGCTGAGGTAGGATGGTCACAAATTCGAGGCCAGCTTAGTCTACATAGACTATGTCTCAGAAAAATAAGACATGTAATCAAGATTTTCTTTTTTCTCTGTTGAATTCTTTGGCCTCTTTCCTATACAGATTAAAAACATAAATACAGTCAGATTGAGAGCCCAACAGTCTGATACTATTAAGAAATTAACCCGAGAGATTTGTATCTAATTGATAACAAATTCCAGGTCAGTTTTAGGGTTAAACATAACTGGTCTGTGTTAGTGTTCATTTATTTCACTTTATTGTGAGGTGGGTTATTAATTTCCTTGGTGAAATTTTAAGTTCATGATGAAGCAACAAATTTAGTAATCTAATGAAACTATTTGCATATCAGAATTTAAATAAGTTCTAATAAACATGAGTTAAGCTAGGTGAGTTGGCTACTCAGGAAATTCCAAGATCCTAGTTCAGTGTCAGCCTGGTCAGAAAAGTCTGAGATTTCATCTACAATTAAGCAGCAAAAATCCAGGCTGCAGGGCTAGGAAGGTGGCTCAGTGGTACAGTGCTTGCCTCAGGAAGACCCTGAGTTCAGGCATCGATGACCAAACATACAAAAAAATAGCTGTGGGGCTGGTGGCTCACACCTGTAATCCCAACTACTCTGGAGGCTGAGATCTGAGAATTGTGATTCGAAGCCAGCCTGGGTAGAAAGTCTGTGAGACTCTTATCTCCAAATAACCACCAGAAAACCAGAAGTAGGGCAGTGGCTCAAAGTAGTAGAGCACTAGCCTTGAGCTGAAGAGCTGAGGGACAGCGCCCAGGCTCAGAGTTCAAGCCCTCAAAAAATAAAAAAAAGACACAGAATATTAGGATGAAAAAGCATTTTGAAGATTTTCAGATCTTTAATGTTGGGGAATACTCTCAGTATCTCATTCGTGCTAGACAAGTACTCTTCTATTGAGCTATATTCTCTATACCCAGTTGTGGAATGTTCAAGTTATATCTTTCATTTGTAGAATAAGAAAATTGAACTAAATTCTGTCTTCAGGAGCCACAGGCATTTTGATAGAGGGCTAGATGTTAAATAGTTGATTAAGTTTTTTTTTAACTGGTTTTTTTTTTTTGTCTTCTTTTTTGGTACTGGGGATCGAACCCAGGACGTTGCGCTTGCTAGGCAAGCGCTTTGCCACTGAGCTACATCCCAGCCCAGTTGATTAAGTTTGTACACTATGCTGTCTCTCTGTCAAAGTAGTACAACATAAAAAATGGGGTTGGTTGTATTGTAGCAAAATTTTATTTACAAAAATAAGCAAAGCATGGGCTGGGAAGGTAGCTCAGTGGTAAAGTGTTTGCCTGGCATGACTGAGGCCCTGGGTTCGATTCCTCAGTACCACATAAGCAAAAAGAAAAAAACTGTGAAGTGGCGCTGTGGCTCAAGTGTTAGAGCGCTAGCCTTGAGCCGAAATGCTGAGGGACAGTGCCCAGGCCCAGAGTTCAGGCCCCACAACCGGACCCCCCCCCAAAAAAAAAAAAAAAAGGCAAAGCAGCCAGAGCCAGATGCTGGTGGCTCATGGCTGTAATCCTAGCAACTGAGGAGGCTGAGAACTAAAGATAACAGTTCAAAGCTAGCCAGGGTAGGAAAGTCCTGGAGACTCTTTATCTCCAAGGCTAAAGTACAAAGTACAAGCCTTGAGTATAAAAGCTCAAGGACAGCACCTAGGCCCTGAGTTCAAGCCCTAGGACAATCAACCAAAAACAAAAACAAAAAAGGCAGCTGGTATATATTGCCAACCTCTTTTACAAATACATTGTTTTTAACTATAAAATACTGCTATTTCGAAAGGTTTATCATTTAAGATGCATCTAAAATTGACCCAATACTCCTTTTCTCTTAGGAAACATGATGAAAGTGTTGAGGGGACATCAGAACTGGGTGTACAGCTGTGCATTTTCTCCTGACTCTTCTATGCTGTGTTCAGTGGGCGCCAGTAAAGCAGTATGTGTCAAAGTTCTTGTATATTTGTTGTGGATTGCATTATAATAATGTGTGTATAATCATTTTAAATCTTAAGTAACTGTTTAGCCTGCTCGGTGTCATGAATATCTTAAATTTTTATTTCATGATAGGGTACAATTTGCATGTAGGAAATTAAATGTTCTTAAGTGAGAAGTCAAATTGCTCTTAAAGATAATATTTGTATATTGAGGGTATGTCAAGTTTACTTTTTGTAAGATCTAGAAAGGCTTATATATGTGTTGTAGAAGAAATCTAGTCCATATGTTAAGACATTCCTTTTTGAAAGATCTAGAAAGGCTTGTATATGTGTTGTAGAAGAAATCTAGTCCATATGTTAAGACATTCCTTTGTTAATTTTCTTCCCTGGGTTTTTTGGGTGTTTTTTATCCAGTTTGCTGCTTTTGAATTTTGATTCCTAGCTTCTCCTGAACATTTAATGACATAATAGAAGTAGCATGCATATATGGTCTAGAGTAAAGTATAGATGAAAATTTAATATTGTCTGTTTTATATAGCATACCCAGAAACTTTAAAGTGACTCTTAGGAGGGTTATGCTTACAGTGAACAGTGAACTATTTTAGTTGTTTGCTAGCTCTTAGTGTTGGTTAAAGAATCTTAGTTTTATATTTTTATGGTCCAAATACATATACTTTGAGTTAATGGGGAGGTGGGGGGTGGAGGCTAGTTTAAATGCATTTTGTTTTGCCAAGAGATACGTTAGTTATAATAAATGTTGGAACTTTAGAACAGAATAATCAGTTTATTTAAAAATTATAAGAAGAACAAAGCTAGATGTTGACATTGCTATTTTAGGCTGTGTGTTTTCCATATGCTTCTTGCTTTCCCTGTCACAGGTGGTGGCAGCAATATTGGTGTGATTGAGGTTATGCTGGCACCACTCGCACACAGGCGCACAATGGTGTTAGCTGGGCAGAAAGAGTGGCATCTCTGGCTACCGGGCTGGGGGCGACCTTTACCATAGGATGAAGTAACCTTGCATTCGGCTGCAAGGTGTACTGTACGTACACAGGTGCTGGTCGATGTCCACTTTCTGCTTTTCTTTCTTTCTTTTTTTTTTTTTTTTCTTTTTAAGAATAATTTCCCCCATAGTAAAAACCCATTGACTCCTAAGTAAATTGATATTCCAATTTGATGGAATTAGGAGTCTGACAGTGAAACCACTTTAATGTAAAGTTACTGGTTTTCAAATGGTTTCTCTATGCTATTTTTTTTTAGTTCTTTAAGATGCTAGAAATACCTTAAATCTGACTCAATTTAAAATTTGTACTTGTTTTCCTTTGGAAATAATGTTTTGTCTGTGCAGAAAAAATAGCAAAAGGATTGCTTACTCCAAGGAGAGTAATTCTACATCTCCAAGCTTACATTTAATTACCAGCCTGAAGTAAAACATTTGAATACTAGTTAGGGCTATTCTGCACAGTTAACTACTGATGTTTCGATTCTGAAACTGTATATGAACTTGTTCTTAAGTAATTTAACTGTTTTGTATTGCAATTTGACTGATTGTAGTCAGTTTGGGGAAAAGTGGTAAATCTTTGTTCACAGAAATGTTGTAATTATATTAACAAAATAGCATTTTCATATTATAATGTGGTTTAACATCCTTATTTGCCAAAGTAATTTCATTTGGCTGTGAAAATTCTCTTTGCTTGCAGTATCTGTTTCTCTTCCTAGGCTCACGTTGGTGATCCAAGCGTATTGTAAACAAGTGATTATCTCAAAGGAGATGCCAATGGAGTAACAATTTGTTAACCTTACATTTTCTGTCTGTATATTTTTTAAAAAAAATTTGGTAGTTGCTGGAAAAAAAGAGAAAGGGGTTTGTAGTACTTAACCCTATTTGTTTCTGTATATCTTAGTTAATTAGTTTTTGGAATAAATGGATTTCAGTATAACTTTGGTTAAATTGCATTGCCTTTACATTTAGGCCTTTTTAAAATTAACATTTAACAGAAACATTTGAAGTAGAATTTGCATGTCTGCTTTAATTAACTTAAAGATTGATTTAATCTATGACACTGAGCATATTCTTTAAATTACTCATAATTTAAAATGTTTAATTTAAACTCGTAATTTATGTTTAATGTAATCTTAATTATCAGTGTAGTTTAAATGTACTATTTGGTCCTCTGTGAGTCTAAATGAAGCTATAACATTTACCTTTTTATTGCAGGTTTTCCTTTGGAATATGGATAAATATACCATGATACGAAAACTAGAAGGACATCACCATGATGTGGTAGCTTGTGACTTTTCTCCTGATGGAGCATTACTGGCTACTGCATCTTATGATACTCGAGTTTATATCTGGGACCCACATAATGGGGACATTCTGATGGAACTTGGGTGGGTATATCATGAATTGTTTTATCGGAAATATCATTGGGATCACTGTGGCCTTTAAGAAGTATGAATAATTAGAATCACATATGAAACCTAAAATTACACTTGATCATAATTAAACATTTGTTATTGAAAATTAAATTTGGCTCTCATAATACAGGGTTTTTTCCTTTGTGGGGCTTGAACTTAGGACCTGCGGGCTGTCCCTGAGCTCTTTCCCCCTCAAGGCTAGTGCTCTAGTTGTTAATCGGAAATAAGAGTCTCAAAGACTTCCCTGCCTGGGCTGGCTTTGAACCATGATCCTTAGAACTAAGTCTCCTGAGTAGCTAGGATTACAGGCGTGACCTGCCCAGGCAGGTTTGCTATTTAATAATACCCAATTCTGGAGAAACGATAATTAATATTTTAGAGTTTCATGTTGAGGGAAAAAAAAATAATTAAAATCCAAGTTGGATTTAATTGTGTGTGTACCAGTCCTGGGGCTTGAACTCAGCCTGGATGCATTACCTGAGCTTTTCTGCTCAAAGGCTAGTGCTTGAGCCACAGCTCCCCTTCCAAAATTTTTTGCTAGTTAATTGGGAGATAAGAATCTTTCCTGCCTTTACTGTCCTTGAACCTCAGTGCTCAAATATCAGCCTCCTGAGTAGCTAACATTACAGACATAAGCCACAAACACCCACCATTGAACTTAATCTTAGTAGTTCTTTCCAAGTACTGGCATTCAGTGTGGATATGTTAGCTCTACTTTGTCTTCTCAGTTGTATTAATTAAGGCCATTAGTCTTACTCAAAGTCAAATGTACTTTGTACCTGGGTAATTTTCCTTCTTAAAGTGATTGTCAAGACATGTATTTGACTTTAGGCACCTGTTTCCCCCACCTACACCAATATTTGCTGGAGGAGCAAATGACCGATGGGTACGATCTGTATCTTTTAGTCATGATGGACTGCATATTGCAAGCCTTGCTGATGACAAGTAAGCATGAATTATTTATTCACTTTCTTTTCTTTTTTTTTTTTTTTTTTTTTTTGCTAGTCCTGGGGCTTGAACTCAGGGCTTGGGCACTGTCCTTGATCTTTTTCTCAAGGCTGACACTCTACCACTTGAGCCACAGCACCACTTCTGGTTTTGTCTGTTTATGTGGTACTGAGGAATAGAACCCAGGGCTTTATGCATGCTAGGCAAACTACTACTAAGCCACCTTTCCAGCCCCTTATTATTACTTTGTGTAAGTATATATGTGCTGGTTGTAGGGCTTGAATTCAGGGCCTGGGTGCTATCCCTAAACTTTTTGCTGAGCCATACCTCCACTTCTAGCTTTTTGGTGGTTAATTGGGGTTAAAAATCTTACAGATTTTTCTGCCTGCCTGGCATTGAAGTGCGGTCCTCAGATAGCAGCCTCCTGAGTAGCATGAGCCACCTGCAGTGCCCAGTATTATTACCTTCAGGATTGCATTTCATCTCTCTCTCTCTTTTTTTTTTTTTTTTTGCAGAGATGGGGCTTGAACTCAGGGCTTGGGCACTGTCCCTGAGCTTCCTTTGCTCAAGGCTAGCACTCTACCCTACCACTTGAGCCACAGTGCCACTTTCGGCTTTTTCTGCTTATGTGGTGCTGAGGAATTGAACCCAGGGTCTCATGTATGCAAGTCAAGCACTCTACCACTGAGCCACCTTCCCTGCCCCCCTAGTCTGTATTTAATATAGCAAACTGGGTTTAAATGTGCCTTCCTCTAGATAAGACCTTAGGAGATGGTGTGACTAGGAGAGAGTAAAACAGATTCTCCTATTTTCAATGTAAGAAGTTAGTGAATGCTTGTAGTTTTGCATATTACATACAGGCTGGATTCTGGAAAGGAAGGACAGTTATATCTTCTTGGACTTAATTCAAATTACCAACTGGTATAGTCTAAACTGTTTTATAAATCAGGTTACTACAATTGCCTGTTGGAGTGATGTGTGTTTTGTGCCTTGAACGTGGCATTTTTTGCTTTTAAAAATTTGTTTTAGGTGTGGAAAGGTGGGTCAGTGGTAGAGTGCTTGCCTTGCATGCATGAGGCCCTGGGTTTGATTCCTCAGCACCACATAAGCAAAAAGAAAAAGCCGGAAGTGGCGCTGTGTCTCAAGTGGTAGTGTGCTAGTCTTGAGCTGAAGAGCTAAGGGACAGCGCCCAGGCCCAGAGTTCAGGCCCCACGACTGGACCAGAAAAAAAAGGAAAAAAGTTTGTTTTACTCTCAGATACTTATTAAAATACTTTGATTTCCTTTCCAGAATGGTGAGATTCTGGAGGATTGATGAAGATTGTCCAGTACATGTTGCATCTTTGAACAATGGTCTTTGCTGTGCCTTTTCCACTGATGGCAGTGTTTTAGCTGCTGGGTAAATAAATATGTTTGTCTTTTTTCTTCAAGGAGCAAGTTAAGGTGGCTTTAGGTGAGGGATCCAGTAGTTTATTGTCAGTAAATCTAGCATAAGTGCTTTTATAAAGTCTGTTACTGCCTTGTCATAGAATGCATCATTGGATAGTTCTCCTTAATTAGAGTTTAAGGTGGAAGTTGATTCTGACATATAGCCTTGGATATGCTTTCTTCAACTGTGGGTATATTGCATGGACTTGAGTGACTGAGCTTGTGGTTTTTTTGTTTCTGTTTAGAACACAAGATGGAAGTGTGTATTTTTGGGCTACTCCAAAGCAAGTCCCTAGCCTTCAGCATTTGTGTCGCATGTCAATCCGCAGAGTGATGCCCACTCAAGAAGTTCAGGAGCTGCCAATTCCTTCCAAAGTTTTGGAGTATCTCTCCTATCGTATTTAAAAGACAGCCTTCCCTACTTGTAGGGACTGACAGAATATATTTTATACAAACCTCAAGCTTTACTGACTTCTGTGTCTGGTGTTAAACATTCAAAAGATTTATTTAATTTGATACATTCTTCTGCATTTTCATTAGTTGAACTTCAAAAATGTTATTTATAGACCATAGAAATATTTCTGGACATATCAAATGTAATTTTTTAAGACTGTGAAAACATGCATATATGTATATATTTAGACACAAGCTGCTATGTGTTTGATAGACCCTTTTGCTTTTTGAGTTTGGAATTCTGACCTGTATATACTGCTTCAGTGGAGCCAAAAATATTATCTGTTGTAAAGTGTAAGGAATTTTTTTTTAAATTTGGGACACTGAGATGATAATATTGACATAAAAAAGCTCAATGGCTTCATATAAAATGGATTGGGGAGGGTGGGTCAGACTGACCTGGCAGGTGTGAGACAGTTATTATATAGGGAAAGGACTTTATTTTCCTTAGGATTGGTGTGTCATGAGTAGAATTCAGTTACCACTTTTTTTTTTTAAGCTAAGCTATACTAGAAAAAGGGTATTTCCCCCCATCCTGCCCCCCAGTACTGTGGGTTTTAATCTTGGAAAGCTATCTTACTACCTTCCTTACCCCTGTGGTATAAAGTATTACACTTTTTTTTTTG